CGTCACTTAGGAGCAATTGTTCGACCCTACAACCACACCTAGGTGAGCAGAGTTAGGTAAGTACACACACACACTCACTCACACACACACACACACACACACACACACACACACACACACACACACACACACACACACACACACACACACACACACACACAAGAAGGTGGTGGAGGCCAAGACCGTCAGTAGTTTCAAAGCGTTATATGACAAAGAGTGTTGGGAAGACGGGACACCACGAGCGTAGCTCATCCTGTAACTACACTTAGGCAATTACACACCACATGATTAACAGTTGATAGGCGGTACCAAAATCCAAAGCGCGACCTCCCCCAAACACAACCTAAGTGAGCACACACACTAAACTTTATAAAGACGTTGCACCTAATAAACTGTAGTTCAATTGACACATATTTAAGATAAATCTTAAGTTTGTATTTCAAAATATGTGAGCACAGCATTTGAAACTTTCATATTACATAGAGTACATGCGCTCTATGTAAAAAATAAGAGGTGCAAAATTTAAGGTGCACCTACGAGCGAAACATCCTCTTCAATCACGTCTACATTAAAATTAGTCTTTCTCTAGATAGGTTAAAATAGTATGCAGTAATAATATTAACACAACACTTACATTTGTCAAATAAGGTTCGTGCTGTATAAATATATATATATATATATATATATATATATATATATATATATATATATATATATATATATATATATATATGTGAAAATGAATATTAAAGACTAAATATACAAAATCAATTCTTAGCCAAATTAAATCCACGTATAGAAACGGAGTAAAATGCTATCTTGATAAATGCCAGGAAATGTTGAGAGCATTTACACGGCTCCACATTACAAAATACCTTGGCTTGGTTGACCTGGGAGGCAAGAATTTGGAAAAGTGAATATGAAGCATCACCGTAGTCCGTGATTGGAAATATTTTGCAAATTAAGCCCCTCGAGGCAGCAGTTGAAGTTTTGTTTACACACGACAAGCATAGTGGCCCAGGAGCTGGAGACCAAGCAGAACACTGACAAGGGAAGGGAACCATCAGGGGAAAAGCACCAAGTCATTACGATTATATGGCACTTAGAAAGGGTCAGGATAAGGATTTGGGATGGGATAGGGGGGAAGGAATAGTGCCCAACCACTTGGACTGCCGGGGATTGAACGCCGACCTGCATAAAGCGAGACCGTCGCTCTACCGTCCAGCCCAAGTGGTTGGGAGAACACTGACAAACGAGAGCCTGCTTGCGTACGGCGTCTCGGCTGCAGTTGAAACAGTCACACTAGCTTCTACAGTAGCCAGCCGTAAATCATGGTAACAAATGGTGCATAGAGAAAAGTAAAGGTTAATTGCTGACGACGCAATAGATGTTGAAATAGCAGTGACTGACGTTGAAACTAAATTACTCAAATAAGAATAAGATAACTTTAGCATTACATACACAAGCTAAGAGACCCACTGATGGGCTGTTCTAAAGACCGGACAACTGGTTAGGAGATTTGCGTCTGGAAACATATAAATATGCCCTAAATTTAAATTAAAATTGTGAACCCATATTCATAAAAACAGGTAATAGTACAAAATTTCACGTAATGCAGAAAATGTTATTTCTCTCTCAAAATGTTAGCCCACCTGGGGCTGGGCGGTAGAGCGACGGTCTCGCTTTATGAAGGTCGGCGTTCAATTCCCGACCATCCAAGTAGTTAGACACCATTCCTTTCCCCCCGTCCCATCCCAAATCCTTATCCTGACCCCTTCCAAATGCTATATAGTCATAATGGCTTGGTGCCCTCCCCTGATAACTTCCTCCCTCCCCTCTCAAAAAGTTAAATAAACAACCTTACAAAATCTAATGTTAGATTAAATCAAATCTAATGGAAACTTCTTACACACAGCTATTCCACCCCATCCTCCAGCTTACACAGTACGCTGTCTACTATCTAAACAGTACTAATCATACAAACTATTACATATAGTACATATTTTGTGCCATTCGTACAATGGTGCAGCATAAATTGTGGACCATTGTACATATCTGCTGCATTATCTGAAGTGTACGTAAGTTTGAGCCGAGTCTTCACACAATTAAGTAGGGAGAGGGGGTAGGGGTGGGTTTTACTTTGAGGTTACCTTGAGGTGCTTCCGGGGCTTAGTGTCCACGCGGCCCGGTCGTCAACCAGGCGTCCTGTGGCACTCTCTTAGTCTTAGTGGCATATGTACGCTACAGCCCGGACTACATATGTTATCAACATACCACCAGACTGTTGGACATCTAAATGCTGGAATTTGCTTTCTAAACTGATACGAGACTGGTATCAATCATATTATTTTGGGAATTGTTTAGTATTTTGGTATGATTCACTTGGATATGTGGTCAGCATATCAACGACACTTGCATATGTGGTACAGCATCCCGAGACTTGGATGTGGTACAGCATACCAACGACACTTGGATGTGTGGTACAGCATTGCGACACTTGGATATGTGGTACAGCATTACGACACTTGGATATGTGGTACAGCATTACGACACTTGGATATGTGGTACAGCATAACTACGACACTTGGATATGTGGTACAGCATTACGACACTTGGATATATTCAGGTGTTTGCGGCATACATCACCTTGTCTCTAAAATAATACTTGCACCTGGAAATAAAGCAGTGAGAGTTATCAAGAACTAACTTGTGTCAGAGTCCTAGGTTGTCTACATGGCACAGCTGTACAGCACATGATTGAAATAGAGGCGATTTACCTGGATTGTACCTGAATAGGATTCTTTGAGTTCTGCTACTCTCCAAGCGGAGACCTTGGAGCGGCCCACAGGCCCACATCCACTATAGCCCGGTTGATACAGCACTTCTTGCAGAAAACTATTCATCATTTCTTGAAGACATCCATTTTTGTCCCGGCAATATTTCTTATAGTTGCTGGGAGGGTGTTGAACAACCGTGAACTCCCTGATGTTCAGACAGTGTTCTCTGACTGTGCCTATGGCACCGCTACTCCTCACTGTCTATTCTGCATTTCCTTTCAGGTCATAATATTTACAACTCTCAAGACGGAGAGCATGATCATTACTTCTGAAGTCTTAATAGCTCTTAGCTGATTCTATCAAATCTGACAAACATAATGACTGCTGTTTCGGCTTTATGAACACTTCATCCCTACACACTGCATGTGAGTATGCAGAAGGGAGCGCCATCTATCATTAAGGTAAGGAGGGAATAAGGCTACATTTTTCTCTAAAATATATACCTATAGAGAATAGCTTATACAAGCTTGTGTGTGTGTGTGTGTGTGTGTGTGTGTGTGTGTGTGTGTGTGTGTGTGTGTGTGTGTGTGTGTGTGTGTGTGTGTGTGTGTGTGTGTGTGTGTGTGTGCGTGTGTGTGCGTGTGTGTGCGTGAACAAAATGATTCTCTTACCAGTCTTCAGTATAATGTAGGAAATATAAAAACTAGGATGAAAGACCAAAGACCAGTGCGGTCTTTGGTCTTACCTCATCTACACACTCTACACCCACGAGGCCAGTGTACCTGACCTACACTACACCCACGAGGCCAGTGTACCTGACCTACACTACACCCACGAGGCCAGTGTACCTGACCTACACTACACCCACGAGGCCAGTGTACCTGACCTACACTACACCCACGAGGCCAGTGTACCTGACCTACACTACACCCACGAGGCCAGTGTACCTGACCTACACCACACTCAAGGGGCCAGTGTACCTGACCTACACTACACCCACGAGGCCAGTGTACCTGACCTACACTACACCCACGAGGCCAGTGCACCTGACCTACACCACACTCAAGGGGCCAGTGTACCTGACCTACACCACACCCACGAGGCCAGTGTACCTGACCTACACTACACCCACGAGGCCAGTGTACCTGACCTACACCACACCCACGAGGCCAGTGTACCTGACCTACACCACACCCACGAGGCAAGTGTACCTGACCTACACCACACCCACGAGGCCAGTGTACCTGACCTACATCACACCCACGAGGCCAGTGTACCTGACCTACACCACACCCACGAGGCCAGTGTACCTGACCTACACCACACCCACGAGGCCAGTGTACCTGACCTACACCACACCCACGAGGCAAGTGTACCTGACCTACACCACACCCACGAGGCCAGTGTACCTGACCTACACCACACCCACGAGGCCAGTGTACCTGACCTACACCACACCCACGAGGCCAGTGTACCTGACCTACACCACACCCACGAGGCCAGTGTACCTGACCTACACCACACCCACGAGGCCAGTGTACCTGACCTACACCACACCCACGAGGCCAGTGTAGCTGACCTACACCACACCCACGAGGCCAGTGTACCTGACCTACACCACACCCACGAGGCCAGTGTACCTGACCTACACCACACCCACGAGGCCAGTGTACCTGACCTACTCTACACCCACGAGGCCAGTGTACCTGACCTACACCACACCCACGAGGCCAGTGTACCTGACCTACACCACACCCACGAGGCCAGTGTACCTGACCCAGCCACTTGGGCTGGACGGTAGAGCGACGGTCTCGCTTCATGCAGATCGGCATTCAATCCCCGACCGTCCAAGTGGTTGGTCTTTTGTTGTTTAAGTTTCGCTACTTGGAACAAAAAGTTCCAAATAGCACAGGCTATGGTGAGCCCGTAGTGGACTTACCTGACACAGGAGCGGGGCTGTGTAGTGGCCGGGTACCATCCCTTCGCCCCCCCCCCCCCCGTCCCATCGCAAATCCTTATCCTGATCCCTTCCCAGTGCTATATATATCGTCGTAATGGCCTGGAGCTTTCCCCTAATAGTTCCCTCCCCCCCCCCTGATACAAGGTACACCTCAGCGGTAGGACCAACCAGCTATAGCGAGACTGCGATACAATCTGCGTGGCTCGTAGCTGGCTCAGCTGATTCCTCGGAAACTCCTGATATGCCTTACTAGTTCCGCTAAATCAACGCACACGGAACTGAACGTATATGAACACTTATCATTTAGAGGTGGTAATTTCCACCCTCAACACCACATGTCTACTTCATTTTCATTTTAATAATTATTATTATTTTCCAGCAAGAAACCCGGTTGAATACGTGGCTAGAGTCATTGCCATTTGTGAGAGTTGAAGAGTTGGACGAGAAGGAGGGATATAGTAATAGGGAAGAGTGCTGGTCCGCGGCAGCGAGGTCACAGGCAGCGCTCGCCGCATTATCGGCCTTGCCTTATCGGGATTCCTGGTGGTGTGGCTGAGGTGGCGGCGGCAGTGAGGTCTCCTTATTGTCTCCTCCCTCCAGGCTTATACACAGCCTTCCTTCACGTTTCCTCTATGTGCTTCTCGCTCTCATTAATGCCTCTTGTCACCTGCGGCTCTCTTCCCGACATTATATTGTCAACAAGTCCACGCCTGACGCACACACAACTGGTGCTCTAACAAGTGCACGTAATTTAACACCTGAAAATATATATATATATATATATATATATAATATATATATATATATATATATATATATATATATATATATATATATATATATATATATATCCGTACTAATTGTGCTATTATACTGATTCGTATCCATAAAACAGCACGCTTAGTTATGCAAATAATAATGAACAAATTATAAATGTTTTGGTAGTTGTGATATTGTTGCCAAAACTGCGTTGCTATTTTCAGGTCTGACTATCAATATATGTTAAAAGTTGTATGTAAATTCGAACTAACAGCGGACATTTATATTCTTAAACAATATCAGAAAGCGAAATATTTCGCTGTATTTTCGTAACATTTTAGAGAAATTAGAAACCCCACTTTCCCTAGCCTGGCGGATGCCGCCAACTGTCTGTAATAGTCAAGTTGATCAAGAAACCAACTGGGTGCAGGTGTGTTTCTGGCACAATATTCACCTTGTCTCCGTCGGTCGTCTCGCTGCCCATTCACTCAGTGAATTAATCATATTAATTGATTGAGACATTATTTTGTATTTCTCCGAGTATACCAATATATATATATATATATATATATATATATATATATATATATATATATATATATATATATATATATATATATATATAGGCATTAATGCCAACATTAACATAATTGTTAATGATATTAAATCAGGAAGGGTTTATCGCGGGTCCTTGGCGTAGATGTGTGGTGCAGGCGTATTGAACGTACCTTCCAGCCGGCGGAGGAGTTGGAGTCGCCCTTGTCCTTGAAGTAGGGAATGTTGGCCACCACCCAGTCGTAGATCTGAGCCAAAGTAAGGCGGCCGTCGGGCGCCGATTTGATAGCCGAGGTGATGAGGTCGGCGTAGCTCTTGCCGCCCCAGGCGTTTCTGCGGGTGCTGCCGCCCTTCTTGGTGCTACTGGCGGGGGGCACCACGGACGCCGGCGTGATGGAGCAGCCGGCACCATCGCCGAGCACTGGGTATTGGTGGGCATGCTGGGGTGCCACGGGCGTAGGTGGAAAGTAGTGATGGGGGGAGAGGTCATCCTGGCTGGGTGGGGGCCACGTATTGCAGCGGCCCCTTGGCATCACCTCTGCCATGCAATCCATGAGGCACAGACGCCCTGAGGGTGAGGCGAGCACTACAACACAGGACACCGGTTACGGGTCCAGGTGTCTCCCACCCCCTCCCTAAAACACACACCAACACCGACACCAGTAGTTAAGAGACAAACTCCAGCCCAGGGGGTAAAGGAAGGTAGCAGGAGGTGCAGGCCCCCTAGCTCCCCCCTAGGCCGCTGTCATCAACACCACACACATCACAGGGACACAAGGGACACTGGGACACCACGTAGAAATTATCATACCCCTACGTATAGTCAGACAATATTACGTCATGACAGATCATGCAGTTATAGTAATCATGCGCCCCCAAATATGGTTATAACATTTCTATCATGGTTCAGCGCACGAAGTTAGCGAGCAAGCATGGCTGTGTGGCTGGAAGCGTGTGGAGGAGCGACGAGCGAGCTGATGTCCCCTCACGCGTCCACACAACACTGGCTCGCCGCTTCAACCCTGAATCCTCGCCACAAGCTTGCAGCGCCGCCCACTAGAGCGGCGCCACCTCACGCTGAGTCCCGCACAGGTGAACTCAATGAACGGCCATCATGCACCTGTCGCTGCTGACTCTTGCTGCCGCAGCTGCGTCACCGCTGCGCCCCACCGACAGTGTAAGCTGCAGGTACATTCTCAGTCTCCTATTCTTCCCATTTATTATAGACAACTTCAGCGTCTTCCACTGTGATACATCACATTGTCACGATATGACGGGATAATTAAACTGGAGTCTGTCCCTAGCTTCCCTAATGCGACTTAACCTTGTTACCCAAGTTACACGTGTAACTAGTACAGAGGCAACTTGCGAACACTTTGAAAATAACAAAGTTGTAAAATTTAGACTTAGGTACCCGGCGTTGCTCGGGTGACGGAGGCAACATCTACACATGACCTTCCTCACTGTAACCATCTTGACAGGATGGGCTTGTTTGACAGAATAGGGGTCTGACAGCTGAGTGGACAGCGCTCGGTATTCGTAGTCCTGAGGTTCCGGGTTCGATCCCCGGTGGAGGCGGAAACAAATGGACAGAGTTTCTTTCACCCTGATGCTCCTGTTCACCTAGTAATAAATAGGTACTTGGGAGTTACAGTTGCTACGGGCTGCTTCCTGGGGTGTGTGTAACAAAAAGGAGGCCTGGTCGAGGACCGGGCCGCGGAGACGTTAAGCCCCGAAACCTCAAGATAACCTCAAGAATCTACACTATACACTACCACCATCACTGTACCACCTACACTACACACTACCACCATCACTGTAACCACCTACACTACACACTACCATCATCACTGTACCACCTACACTACACACTACCACCATCACTGTAACCACCTACACTACACACTACCATCATCACTGTACCACCTACACTACACACTACCATCATCACTGTACCACCTACACTACACACTACCATCATCACTGTACCACCTACACTACACACTACCATCATCACTGTACCACCTACACTACACACTACCACCATCACTGTACCACCTACACTACCACCATCACTGTACCACCTACACTACACACTACCACCATCATTGTAACCACCTACACTACACACTACCACCATCACTGTACCACCTACACTACCACCATCACTGTAACCACCTACACTACACACTACCATCATCACTGTACCACCTACACTACACACTACCATCATCACTGTACCACCTACACTACACACTACCACCATCACTGTACCACCTACACTACACACTACCACCATCACTGTACCACCTACACTACACACTACCACCATCACTGTACCACCTACACTACACACTACCACCATCACTGTACCACCTACACTACCACCATCACTGTACCACCTACACTACACACTACCACCATCACTGTACCACCTACACTACACACTACCACCATCACTGTACCACCTACACTACAAGTCTCCCTGTATGGTTCGGTGAGGCTGACCCCAAGCGTCTGACCTTCAACCTTGGATAGAGAAACTTCCTTTTTATACACAGATGTATTTAGAAAAATGCATAACGCGTACAATCCAGAATATTTACTTAAACCCTCAGAAGGCTGGAGCGTGGGTGCGCGCGCACACACACACACACACACACACACACACACACACACACACACACACACACACACACACACACACACACACACACACACACACACACACACACACCAGAAACATGGAGAGCTAAGCTGCTGGACGTGGCAACAAGAAACTTTCTAAGCCAGCATACCAAAGAGCCAACAAGAATGAGAGGAGAAGATGAACCAGCAATGCTTGATTTGATATTTACCCTAAATGAATGGGATATAAGGGAAGTTAAGATGGAAGCGCCCTTGGGAATGAGTGACCACAGTGTATTGAACTTTGAGTACCTGGTAGAGCTAGGACTTATCTCCCCCCAAAAAGAACTAGGAATCAAAAGGCTGGCATACCGAAAGGGGAATTATGAACAGATGAGAAGTTTCCTAAGTGAAATACCTTGGGACACAGACCTCAGAGACAAGTCTGTACAGGGTATGATGGACTATGTTACCCAAAAGTGTCAGGAGGCAGTAAACAGGTTCATCCCGGCCCAAAGGGAAAAATTCGAGAAGCAACATAAGAATCCCTGGTATAATAGGGCATGTATGGAAGCGAAGAAACTGAACAAAAATGCGTGGAGGAACTTCCGGAATAACAGAACACCAGAAAGCAGGGAGAGATACCAGAGAACCAGGAATGAGTACGTCAGGGTGAGAAGAGAAGCAGAGAAAAATTTTGAAAATGATATAGCAAACAAAGCCAAGACCGAACCAAAGCTACTCCACAGTCACATCAGAAGGAAAACAACAGTGAAAGAACAGGTATTGAAACTTAGAACAGGCGAGGACAGGTATACAGAGAATGACAGAGAGGTGTGTGAGGAACTCAACAAGAGGTTCCAGGAGGTCTTCACAATAGAACAGGGTGAGGTCACTGTGCTAGGAGAAAGGGAGGTAAACCAGGCGGCCTTGGAGGAGTTCGAAATTACGAGAGAGGAGGTCAAGAGACACCTGCTGGATCTGGATGTTAGAAAGGCGGTTGGTCCAGATGGGATCTCACCATGGGTACTGAAAGAGTGTGCAGAGGCACTTTGCTTGCCACTCTCCATAGTGTATAGTAAATCACTAGAGACGGGAGACCTACCAGAAATATGGAAGACGGCGAATGTGGTCCCAATATACAAAAAGGGCGACAGACAAGAGGCACTGAACTACAGGCCAGTGTCCTTGACTTGTATACCATGCAAGGTGATGGAGAAGATCGTGAGAAAAAACCTGGTAACACATCTGGAGAGAAGGGACTTCGTGACAAATCGCCAACATGGATTCAGGGAGGGTAAATCTTGCCTTACAGGCTTGATAGAATTCTACGATCAGGTGACACAGATTAAGCAAGAAAGAGAGGGCTGGGCGGACTGCATTTTCTTGGATTGTCGGAAAGCCTTTGACACAGTACCGCATAAGAGGCTGGTACATAAGCTGGAGAGACAGGCAGGTGTAGCTGGTAAGGTGCTCCAGTGGATAAGGGAGTATCTAAGCAATAGGAAGCAGAGAGTTACGGTGAGGGGTGAGACCTCCGATTGGCGTGAAGTCACCAGTGGAGTCCCACAGGGCTCTGTACTCGGTCCTATCTTGTTTCTGATATATGTAAATGATCTCCCGGAGGGTATCGATTCATTTCTCTCAATGTTTGCGGACGATGCTAAAATTATGAGAAGGATTAAAACAGAAGAGGACTGTTTGAGGCTTCAAGAAGACCTAGACAAGCTGAAGGAATGGTCGAACAAATGGTTGTTAGAGTTTAACCCAACCAAATGTAATGTAATGAAGATAGGTGTAGGGAGCAGGAGGCCAGATACAAGGTATCATCTGGGAGAGGAAATTCTTCAGGAGTCAGAGAAGGAAAAAGACTTGGGGGTTGATATCACGCCAGACCTGTCTCCTGCAGCACATATCAAGCGGATAACATCAGCGGCATATGCCAGGCTGGCCAACATACGAACGGCATTCAGAAACTTGTGTAAAGAATCATTCAGAACTTTGTATACCACATATGTCAGGCCAATCCTGGAGTATGCAGCCCCAGCATGGAGTCCATATCTAGTCAAGGATAAGACTAAACTGGAAAAGGTTCAAAGGTTTGCCACCAGACTAGTACCCGAGCTGAGAGGTATGAGCTACGAGGAGAGACTACGGGAATTAAACCTCACTTCGCTGGAAGACAGAAGAGTTAGGGGGGACATGATCACCACATTCAAGATTCTGAAGGGGATTGATAGGGTAGATAAAGACAGTCTATTTAACACAAGGGGAACACGCACAAGGGGACACAGGTGGAAACTGAGTGCCCAAATGAGCCACAGAGATATTAGAAAGAACTTTTTTAGTGTCAGAGTGGTTGACAAATGGAATGCATTAGGGGGTGATGTGGTGGAGGCTCACTCCATACAGTTTCAAGTGTAGATATGACAGAGCCCGATAGGCTCAGGAATCTGTACACCTGTTGATTGACGGTTGAGAGGCGGGACCAAAGAGCCAGAGCTCAACCCCCGCAAACACAACTAGGTGAGTACACACACACACACACACACCTATCAATCCAAGACACATGGATCGAACACCTAGAGAGTAATGGCATAATAACGGACAGACAGTATGGTTTTCGAACAGGAAGATCCTGCGTAACAAACCTACTTAGCTTTTATGATAGAGCCACAGAGATAATACAGGAAAGAGATGGTTGACTTGACTGTGTCTATCTGGACCTAAAAAGGGCTTGACAGAGTCCCACACAGTTTCCAGAACAAGAGGCTCTTCTGGAAACTTGAACATGCTGGAGGAGTGACGGAGGCTTCTGACATTTATGAAAAACTTTCTAACTGACAGACAGATGAGGGCGGTAATCAGAGACAATGTATCTGACTGGAGGAGTGTTACTAGCGGAGTACCACAGGGTTCAGTTCTTGCACCAGTAATGTTCATCGTCTAAATAAATGATCTACCAGAAGGAATACATAAGTACATGAACATGTTTGTGGATGATGCTAAGATACTGGGGAAGAAGGAGACGCAGACGATTGTAATGCCCTTCAAATTGATCTAGATAAAATAAGTGCTTGGAGCGTCAAGTGGCAAATGGAATGCAATGTGAATAAATGCCATGTTACAGAATGTGGATTCGGAGAAAATAGACCACATACAACTTACAAACTATGTGGAATGAAATTACTGAACTCTAATAAAGAAGGAGACCTAGAGGTGGTTTTGGATAGTAAGCTGTCGCCAGAGAAACACATTAAGAACATTGTGAGAAGAGCGTATGCGTTGCTTTCCAACTTCACACTTGCTTTTAATTATATGGAATTATAATACTAAAGAAACTGTTCATGACTTTTGTGAGACCAAAACTGGAATAAGCAGCTGTTGTATGGTACCCAAATCTCAAGAAGCATATAAAGAAATTGGTAAAGGTGCAGCGGCATGCTACAAAATGGCTCCCGGAACTGAAAAACAAGACTTACGAGGAGAGACTACAGACATTAAACAAGCCTACACTAGAAGATAGAAGAAAAAAAGAGGTGATATGATCACAACATACAAAATTCTAACAGGAATAGACCAAACTGACAAGGAGGAATTTCTGAAACCAGCAACATCACAAACAAGAGGACACGGTTTCAAACTAAGGAAACAGAGGTGCTGAAAAAACATTAGAAAGTTTTCTTTCGCAAACAGAGTGGTAGACGGTTGGAATAGGTTGAAGTGAGAAGGTGGTGGAGGCCAAAACCGTCAGTAGTTTCAAAGTGTTATACGACAAAGAGTACTGGGAAGACGGGACACCACGAGCGTAGTTCTCATCCTGTAACTACACTTAGGTAATTACACACACACTTAAAAAAAAGATAAAAGTTATAAAGAAATGCAAAAATGGCTTGTGCATAAATTGAAGGGGGCCTGAGCAACGAGGCAAGACCGAGGGAAGTGATTGGGCACCATTCCTTGCCCCCGTCCCATCCCAAATCCTTATCCTAATCCTTTCCAAGTGTTATATAATAGTAATAGCTTGGTGCTTTCCCCAGATAGTTCTCTTCTCTTTCCTAACTCAACACACAAGTTGAATAAATATAAATATGAAACTGAGTCATTAAGAAAGAAAGAAGTTAAAGAATGCGGGTCTTGACCTCGTAAGCACATCAGGAACTGCAAAGGTGACAAAAGATGCGACTGCTTTAATATCTAAGAGCAAGGAATCATTTAGAATGTAACTGACTACAGACGGTAGCCCGACCAACATACATAGTTAGGTTATGATGTATTAGATGAGCATACGCCATGTTAGGCTCTGTTGAGTTAGGTTAGGTTTCATACAAAGTATAAATACGTGTTATGCAGCAAATCATCAGCCACATCATATGCACCATCCACCTTCATAAGCTAGAAATCTTCCCCCCAAAAGAGCAATTACATTGGTACGGTTACTCCAAGCAACAACGAGCGGATCTTCTGACATACAAGTGATTACATTGGTACGGTTACTCCAAGCAACAACGAGCGGATCTTCTGACATACGAGTGATTACATTGGTACGGTTACTCCAAGCAACAACGAGCGGATCTTCTGACATACGAGTGATTACATTGGTACGGTTACTCCAAGCAACAACGAGCGGATCTTCTGACATACGAGTGAATACATTGGTACGGTTACTCCAAGCAACAACGAGCGGATCTTCTGACATACGAGTGATTACATTGGTACGGTTACTCCAAGCAACAACGAGCGGATCTTCTGACATACGAGTGATTACATTGGTACGGTTACTCCAAGCAACAACGAGCGGATCATCTGGCATACGAGCCAATACATTGGTATGGTTACCCCCCAAGCACCAACGAGGGATTACTATTCCTGAGGCGGCCGGCACCCCTGGGAGAGACACGATGCGCGCACACTTCACTGAATTACAAACACAGATAATTTTCGACAGTATTAAGTCACTACAAAACTGAAGCGCCCGTAGCGAACGATACGTTCTTGAGGTAATTTATTGACAAAGAAACAAATTCGAACAGACCGTAGCCGTCATGACGAGTGAAGAACAGACCGCAGCAGTCATGACGAGTGAGGAACAGACCGCAGCAGTCATGACGAGTGAAGAACAGACCGCAGCAGTCATGACGAGTGAGGAACAGACCGCAGCCGTCATGACGAGTGAGGAACAGACCGTAGCCGTCATGACGAGTTAGGAACAGACGGTAGCCGTCATGACGAGTTAGGAGCAGACCGTAGCCGTCATGACGAGTGAGGAACAGACCGTAGCCGTCATGACGAGTTAGGAACAGACGGTAGCCGTCATGACGAGTGAGGAACAGACTGTAGCCGTCATGACGAGTGAGGAACAGACCGTAGCCGTCATGACGAGTGAGGAACAGACTGTAGCCGTCATGACGAGTGAGGAACAGACCGTAGCCGTCATGACGAGTGAGGAACAGACTGTAGCCGTCATGACGAGTTAGGAACAGACCGTAGCCGTCATGACGAGTGAGGAACAGACTGTAGCCGTCATGACGAGTGAGGAACAGACCGTAGCCGTCATGACGAGTGAGGAACAGACTGTAGCCGTCATGACGAGTGAGGAACAGACCGTAGCCGTCATGACGAGTGAGGAACAGACCGTAGCCGTCATGACGAGTGAGGAACAGACTGTAGCCGTCATGACGAGTTAGGAACAGACCGTAGCCGTCATGACGAGTGAGGAACAGACTGTAGCCGTCATGACGAGTGAGGAACAGACTGTAGCCGTCATGACGAGGGAGGAACAGACCGTAGCCGTCATGACGAGTGAGGAACAGACCGTAGCCGTCATGACGAGTGAGGAACAGACCGTAGCCGTCATGACGAGTGAGGAACAGACCGTAGCCGTCATGACGAGTGAGGCAAGCCACCAACCTGTCCTCACACTTAATGCACCACCAACCTGTCCTCACACTTAATGCACCACCAACCTGTCCTCACACTTAATGCACCACCAACCTGTCCTCACACTTAATGCACCACCAACCTGTCCTCACACTTAATGCACCCCACCAACCTGTCCTCACGCTTAATGCACCACCAACCTGTCCTCACACTTAATGCACCACCAACCTGTCCTCACACTTAATGCACCCCACCAACCTGTCCTCACGCTTAATGCACCACCAACCTGTCCTCACACTTAATGCACCACCAACCTGTCCTCACGCTTAATGCACCACCAACCTGTCCTCACACTTAATGCACCACCAACCTGTCCTCACGCTTAATGCACCACCAACCTGTCCTCACGCTTAATGCACCACCAACCTGTCCTCACGCTTAATGCACCACCAACCTGTCCTCACGCTTAATGCACCATCAATTTTTACACTATGGACCACCTTGAGGTTACCTTGAGGTGCTTCCGGGCTTAGCGTCCCCGCGGCCCGGTCGTCGACCAGGCCTCCTGGTTGCCGGACTGATCAACCAGGCTGTTGGACGCGGCTGCTCGCAGCCTGACGTATGAGTCACAGCCTCATACGTCAGCCACAGCCACAACGACAAAACTGTTGTGGTTTAGTTATATTAAAAGTACGGCAATATTGACACTTGCTTGGCCTAATCACCCCGTCCTCTCGAGCATTCAAACCTCACTAAACTGCTGTAGTAAACTACCCAAACCTAACCTAACTGTGGAGACACATAGAGAAAACGGGAAATCACGTCAATTTTGCAAGTCGCTATGATTTTTGGTACATAGGTTATTGGCCTTAGGGGATTCATACGTCAAAATGTGATGCATTACTAGAGAGGACGGGTGCACATAGAGCTCGACGGGTCAGGTGGGTGGCCGAAGTTCGAAGACTCCTGGACCTGGATTCACGAAGTAGTTACGCAAGTACTTACGAACGTGTACATCTTTCGTCAATCTTTGACGGCTTTGGTTACATTTATTAAACAGTTTACAAGAAAGAAAACTTGCCAATCAACTGTTGTTATTGTTATAAACAGCCTCCTGGTGATTCGGAGCTCATTAACTGTTTAATAATTGTAAACAAAGCCGCCAAAGATTGTGAAAAGATGTACAGGTTCGTAACTGCTTCGTGAATCTGGCCCCTGGTTAGACCAAACAAACTAAACTGTACGCGTGTTAATACCGCGAGGAAGGCCTACCCCCACCGTGGCCAGGATTAATCACACGCTTAAAGTGTCCACTTACGAAACCTGTACATCTTTTCTCGAACATAGCATCTTTGTTTATCTTTTTTAAACATTTCATGAGCTCCAAAGAGCAACAGTGTTATCTATAACAATAATAACGTTGGGGCTCGGAGTTTCCTTGGTCTTCGCTGTTTAATGCAGACAAAATCGTGACTGGGGAAAGATGTACAGGTTTCGTAAGTGATTAATGTTTGATGATGGTGCTGGTGGTTGGTAACGCAGGCGGGACAGGATGCCAGCAGGTGACACATCTCACACACTTGACACCTTTCCTTCTCCCGAAGAGATAAAAACACCAACAAGGAAAGAGAAACAAAAAACATTACGTGATTTCGAACAAATCAAAAAATCTAAATTAAACTTCTAAGAAAAATTTTCATTCAATAACCTTTTAAATTAAAAAAAACTAGATTGCGCTTTGTTGACGAAGCGCCGACAGACAGTGCACTCGCATCACACGTGTTCGGGTCAGGGTTCGAATCCTGGGAAGGGAGCCGGTCGGCCGAGCGGACAGCACGCTGTACTTGTGATCCTGTGGTCCCGGGTTCGATCCCGGGCGCCGGCGAGAAACAATGGGCAGAGTTTCTTTCACCCTATGCTCCTGTTACCTAGCAGTAAAATAGGTACCTGGGTGTTAGTCAGCTGTCACGGGCTGCTTCCTGGGGGTGAAGGCCTGGTCGAGGACCGGGCCGCGGGGACACTAAAGCCCCGAAATCATCTCAAGATAACCTCAAGAAGAAGGCTGGGACAACTGGATCGATCTTGTATATCAGAGAGTACTTGGGAACCTGTATATAAACTGATTGGCAGAATACGCCAGGCAGAAAACAGGCAGAGTACAGCGTTAAAAAACCTGTGGTAGCGGGGAAGGTTACAAGCTAGAAGACCTCCAGTGTCCTCTAGCATAGATAAGCGACGGTATAGCTGCGACCTTGTATCTTCCAGGGTCGGCGTTCGATCCTCGATGGTCCATGTGGATGGGCAAGATTCCTTTTCCTCGACCTTATATCCCAGTTCCTTGTTGATCCTGTTGATCCTGGAATGTTCAGTGCACGACTGTTGATCCTGGAAATGTTCAGTGCACGACTGTTGATCCTGGAAATGTTCAGTGTACGACTGGTGACCCTGGAAATGTTCAGTGTACGACTGGTGATCTTGGAAATGTTCAGTGTACGACTGGTGATCCTGGAAATGTTCAGTGCACGACTGTTGATCCTGGAAATGTTCAGTGTACGACTGGTGACCCTGGAAATGTTCAGTGTACGACTGGTGACCCTGGAAATGTTCAGTGTACGACTGGTGATCTTGGAAATGTTCAGTGTACGACTGGTGATCTTGGAAATGTTCAGTGTACGACTGGTGATCCTGGAAATGTTCAGTGCACGACTGTTGATCCTGGAAATGTTCAGTGTACGACTGGTGACCCTGGAAATGTTCAGTGTACGACTGGTGATCTTGGAAATGTTCAGTGCACGACTGGTGATCTTGGAAATGTTCAGTGTACGACTGGTGATCTTGGAAATGTTCAGTGCACGACTGGTGATCTTGGAAATGTTCAGTGTACGACTGGTGATCCTGGAAATGTTCAGTGCACGACTGGTGATCTTGGAAATGTTCAGTGTACGACTGGTGATCTTGGAAATGTTCAGTGCACGACTGGTGATCTTGGAAATGTTCAGTGCACGACTGGTGATCTTGGAAATGTTCAGTGTACGACTGGTGATCTTGGAAATGTTCAGTGCACGACTGGTGATCCTGGAAATGTTCAGTGCACGACTTATGGGCCAGGAAATGTTCAGTGTGCCCCCCCCCCCTGGAGAAATATAAATTCAATCCTCCTCTCAATACCAATGACTCGGTATAATAATCAGAAACCGTTTGTTCCGCTTATAAAATCCTACTTTAAAAATGTACCAAGACTTGATGCCTTTGATTGCTTACTCAAGGCCATAGATTTATGCTAATTATCCTTACTTAGATGCATTGATATTAATTATCCTTACTTAGATGCACTTGTGCTAATTATCCTTACTTAGATGCATTGATATTAATTATCCTTACTTAGATGCACTTGTGCTAATGATCCTTACTTAGATGCACTTGTGCTAATGATCCTTACTTAGATGAACTTGTGATAATTATCCTTACTTAGATGAACTTGTGATAATTATCCTTACTTAGATGAACTTGTGATAATTATCCTTACTTAGATGCACTTGTGCTAATGATCCTTACTTAGATGAACTTGTGATAATTATCCTTACTTAGATGAACTTGTGATAATTATCCTTACTTAGATGAACTTGTGCTAATGATCCTTACTTAGATGAACTTGTGATAATTATCCTTACTTAGATGAACTTGTGATAATTATCCTTACTTAGATGAAATTATGCTAATTATCCTTACTTACATGCACTTGTGCTAATTATCCTTACTTAGATAAACTTGTGCTAATTATCCTTACTTACATGCACTTGTGCTAATTATCCTTACTTAGATAAAGTTGTGTTAATTATCCTTACTTAGATGAACTTGTGCTAATTATCCTTACTTAGATGCACTTGTGCTAATTATCCTTACTTAGATGAACTTGTGCTAATTATCCTTACTTAGATGCACTTGTGCTAATTATCCTTACTTATATGAACTTGTGCTAATTATCCTTACTTAGATGAACTTGTGCTAATTATACTTACTTAGATGCACTTATGCTAATTAACCTTACTTAGATGCACTTGTGCTAATGATCCTTACTAAGATGAGATGTTTACAGTTGTGGGGGCAAGACAAGTGCTCGCGCTGAGGCCACCTTCCCTAACCGCAGAGAATCAATAGCACCCAACGACAGGTCTCACCCAAGACAAAAAAATCTCGTTTGTTTCCAATCTGCATGTGGAAAAAGACTCCCCTTGCGACTTAATCCCCTTGGAAGAAATCTGAATGCCAAATCCGATGTCATTACGCGGTTAATTAAAGTCATCTTTCAAGGCGTATGACTCGGTTGGTGGAGTCTATTGTGTATACGGCAAGTGCTAACCTCTGATAGCTCCCCTCCGCCAAGGTGCCCACCAAACACCCTTAGGCGCCCATCACAGAATTGGATCGCATTGCATCGAGCTAAGAAAAGCGCGCCGAAAGAATGCACTTGCTAGAAAAATGGCAAATGAAAGCAATCTACATGAAAATTTGGCTGTGTGCTGTCTTAATTTCTTAATTACGATGCAAATGTAATTAACCGTGACTTCTTAAAACTGGAGGCAAGAAGGGCGTATGTGCAGCCCTTCCCTGACAGACATAATTATCAGCAAGAGTGGCGCGACATGTCGCCGGCCGCTGGGGTTAGGCGGCCTCCTTCCTACTGCGGCCACTCTAGCCAAACGGTCACCCTGTTATTGCAGCCGCTTGGATTACACGACCACCATCGTATTGTGACAACGTACCGGAATCAGGCGGCATCCGTCCTCAAGGAGAAGCTATGGTAACGTTTCAACCTTTTTCCTGTTGACGGGATAAGGCTCTTGTTGACGGGGTAAGGCTCCTGTTGACGGGGTAAGGCTCCTGTTGACGGGGTAAGGCGCCTGTTGACGGGGTAAGGCTCTTGTTGACGGGGTAAGGCTCCTGTTGACGGGGTAAGGCTCCTGTTGACGGGGTAAGACTCCTGTTGACGGGGTAAGGCTCCTGTTGACGGGGTAAGGCGCCTGTTGACGGGGGTAAGGCTCTTGTCGACGGGGTAAGGCTCCTGTTGACGGGGTAAGGCTCCTGTTGACGGGGTAAGGCTCCTGTTGACGGGGTAAGACTCCTGTTGACGGGGTAAGACTCCTGTTGACGGGATAAGGCTCCCGTTGACGGGATAAGGCTCCTGTTGACGGAGTAAGGCTCCTGTTGACGGGGTAAGGCTCCTGTTGACGGGATAAGGCTCCTGTTGACGGGGTAAGGCTTCTGTTGACGGGATAAGGCTCCTGTTGACGGAGTAAGGCTCCTGTTGACGGGGGTAAGACTTGTTGACGGGGTAAGGCTCCTGTTGACGGGGTAAGACTCTTGTTGACGGGGTAAGGCTACCGTCTTATTACTGTGGTGTTGTAACTATTATACAGTTGTGGTGGCTGGGGTTAGGCGGCCATCCCCTTATTGCGACCATTGTGGGGGGAGGGCGCCACAGCCTTACTGCGGCCGCCGTCATTAGGCGGTCACGCTCCTGCTGCGGTCGTTGGAATTATGTGGTACCGTCTTACTGAGGAAGTCGGCTTTAAGCGGTCGCTGCCATACTGCGGCCGTTAGGGTTAGGCGGCCAGGTTACTGCTACTACTGTGGCCGTTCTTGGTCCTCGGTATTGAGGCTCTTAGACGTCCTTATTGAGGCTCTTAGACCTCCTTACTGAGGCTCCCAGACCTCCTTACTGAGGCTCCCAGACCTCCTTACTGAGGCTCCCAGACCTCCTTACTGAGATCCCCAGACCTCTTTAGTGAGGCTCCCAGACCTCCTTACTGAGGCTCTTAGACCTCCTTACTGAGGCTCTTACACCTCCTTACTGAGGCTCTTAGACCTCCTTACTGAGGCTGCCAGACCTCCTTACTGAGGCTCCCAGACCTCCTTACTGAGGCTCCCAGACCTCCTTACTGAGGCTCCTAGACCTCCTTACTGATGCTCCCAGACCTCCTTACTAAGACTGCGTGTGTTGACTGAGGCTCCGAGAGCTGTGGGTCATGGGGTTATACTTTCACTACTGTGGCTGGAGCCTGCGCCTGGTGTACTAGTCATCAGGGCTCTGAGCCACCTCACTTATAACCACCAGTGGTGGTATGGTCCACATTGACACGAATGTTCCCATAAAGTTGCTGTTCGCTTGTTACAACCGTGGAGGCTGGTGGCGGACCCACCAAGAGGCAGCCATGTATGGATGAATGACGTGTTGACCCTAACACCCCCCCCCCAACCGTTCTGGACGGTTGAGCGACAATCTCTCTTCATGGAGGTCGGCGTTCAATCCCCAACTGTCCAAGTGGTTGGGCACCATTCCCTTTCCCCGTCCCATCCCAAATCCTTATCCTGACGCCTTCCCAGGGCTATATAGTCGTAGTGGCTTGGCGCTTCCTCCTGATAGTTCCCATCCCCCCCCCAAATGCTTGACATTGAGCAATATTTGATAAAAATGCCTTACAAGCTTGACCGTCTTTCTCACACTACATAATTACTGATTGATTCCACTGGGTTTCTGACAGCGATGCTTTCCTAATGCCTCTGGTTAACAGATACCAATGGTGTTATTAATATAGCTTTCTTAAGCCATTGGTGTATTAACTTTCCTTGTATGTAATCATAACTAGCTGACGCCACATTATTTAACGTTAAAGGCTTCCCCATATCCTAACTTCCAGGTAATCACACAAGTTTCGCTATGTTGCTGGTGCTATTGTCTTACACAAGTAACACCAGGGAAGGTTTTCGTACGAGCAAACCTGTAGAACTGGTTGATAATGTGTTGCCAGGTGCCAGTGTTGCCTCTACCAGCACCACAAGCATGCTGACAGTTGCCAGTGTTGCCTCTACCAGCACCACAAGCATGCTGACAGCTGCCAGTGTTGCCTCTACCACCACCACAAGCATGCTGACGTGTTGTCAGTGTTGCCTCTACCACCACCACAAGCATGCTGACAGTTGCCAGTGTTGCCTCTACCACCACCACAAGCATGCTGACAGGTGCCAGTGTTGCCTCTACCACCACCACAAGCATGCTGACAGCTGCCAGTGTTGCCTCTACCACCACCACAAGCATGCTGACAGGTGCCAGTGTTGCCTCTACCACCACCACAAGCATGCTGACAGTTGCCAGTGTTGCCTCTACCACCACCACAAGCATGCTGACAGTTGCCAGTGTTGCCTCTACCACCACCACAAGCATGCTGACAGTTGCCAGTGTTGCCTCTACCACCACCACAAGCATGCTGACAGTTGCCAGTGCCTCTACCACCACCACAAGCATGCTGACTAGTGTTGCCTCTACCACCACCACAAGCATGCTGACATGCCAGTGTTGCCTCTACCACCACCACAAGCATGCTTGCCAGTGTTGCCTCTACCACCACCACAAGCATGCTGACAGTTGCCAGTGTTGCCTCTACCACCACCACAAGCATGCTGACAGTGTTGCCTCTACCACCACCACAAGCATGCTGACAGGTGCCAGTGTTGCCTCTACCACCACCACAAGCATCCTGCCAGTGTTGCCTCTACCACCACCACAAGCATCCTGCCAGTGTTGCCTCTACCACCACCACAAGCATGCTGACAGTTGCCAGTGTTGCCTCTACCACCACCACAAGCATGCTGACAGGTGCCAGTGTTGCCTCTACCACCACCACAAGCATGCTGACAGTTGCCAGTGTTGCCTCTACCACCACCACAAGCATGCTGACAGGTGCCAGTGTTGCCTCTACCACCACCACAAGCATGCTGACAGTTGCCAGTGTTGCCTCTACCACCACCACAAGCATGCTGACAGGTGCCAGTGTTGCCTCTACCACCACCACAAGCATGCTGACGTCAGCGGGTACTATGGGCCGCAGGCTTAAGCAAGCTGTAAGCCTCAAGCGTATGGCGTCCCCAGATAAGTTAATTATGAACGCTCGCACGAGTCTGTGTGTGTCCTCTCCTAACTGTACCTGCAGGACCGAGTGGCGGCTCTTGGGCCCCGCCTTTTGATGCTGTCTGTCGTCTTATGCAATGGCTCTCGAGTCACTGGGATTTTATTATAT